ATATACAAATTATATATATATATGTATGACATGTATATACACAAATCTGAATTTGAAAACTGGGCTTTTTATCCAAATTATACTGAGTAATTAGAAAAATACACATATATCTTTACGAAGAGTGAAAATACTTAAATCCTTTAAACATGAAAAGTAGTTGAATAGGTAGGGGTTCTGGGTAAGCATTTATAACTTAATTTAAACCAAAGTTAGCATTATTTTATCATTTAGGAATATTCTCAGTGAAATATTAGATATTAGAAACCATTAAAAATAGCTAAGTATAAAAGAGTTTAAGGAACAAAAAGTTGAGAGAAATGTTCAGTTACTTGGGGTTACCTGATGTTCAGTTAATTGAAGATGAGTCCCACCCAACATCTCTGAAGTCCACATGAATAAGTCCTTTAGATGAAGTTGGTACATGAAACTCTTAAAGTTCATCTCCTTGAATTCTGTAGTACAGGAGTAGAAGTACCTGAGTACAATCTTTACCCTCCAGTTGAATGGAGTGTTTGATGTGATGGTTCTTTTTTCAGTTGATGAAATCCTCTGAATTTCTTTATCCTTTAAGGAATTCTGTAACTAATTTTGAATTTTTAGTAATCATATTTAAAAATCCTTTTTTTCTAAGCAAATTAACATTAAAGAAAACTTATTGTTGTTGTAACTAATACATGAGGGCTTACTTATAAGCCAATTTGATACCACGTTAAAAAAAAAAATATATATATATTTAAACATAAGATCATGTAGACAGTATATTCACATGCAGTCATATATAAAAGATTTTTAGCTACCAAGATCTTGTAATTAATTTTTGCTGAGAATATATCACCTGTAATTTTTAGTATGAAAAGGAAACTTAACAAAAGATCCTTAGAAAACATATATATCCATTGTTTTACATGTAATCTAGCTTTAATAAAATCTTAGATTTAGTAGTTTTATATTAAGAAATATTTTTGAAAGAAAAATGATTACTACCTCTGACTATTACACAACTGAAATGATCTATATCTAAATATTTAGAACCTGTTTGGGAAGGAAATCCTAATCAAAATCTATGTATATAACATTAGAATTTATATCTTACTGAAATATTTATCTTATAATTTTAATGAATGCCATTTGATATAAGTAATTAGCATTTGGAGGTTTTGTGAAACACCTAATAGACCCAAAGATATTAATAGGCTTTCTTTTAGATGTTTAGAGCACTCAAGTCTATAACGTAGTATGTATTTATCAGGCCTTTTAATAAATTAGCAAAATACATTTATAAACCTGCACATGTGCATTTTAATCTTGCATGCCGAAAAATAAAAATAATAAAAATAATAATTCTTGTTCACAATAAAAATAATGAGAAAGGAAAAAAAAAACTGAAGGGTCCAGTTAAAACATTGTCTTGACACAAACAACACATGAAAACAATTCTACACATAGCACAATTACAAGAAATCCAGGTGCATCAAAAAGTGAGGAAAGGCTTCAGAAACTTACCTCTCTAGTTCTTTAATATGTAAAAAACAAAAAAAATGGCTTAGTGGCCTAAAAGAAAGGGTGAAGTTTGCAATGTAAGCCTAAGGTAATATCTCTTTCCCTTTTTAAGAGCTAAATAAGTGGGGGCTGGAGAGGTGGCTCAGCAGTTAGGAGCACTGACTGCTCTTGCAGATGCAGAGGACCTGGGTTCAATTCCCAGCACCCACATGCCTACGAACCATCCTTAACTCCAGTTCCAGGGGAATCCCACACCCTCTTCTGACCTCTGGGACATTGCACGACATGGGTGCACTCACATACATGCAAGCAATACACTCATACACATAAAATAAATAAAAAAAATTTTTAAAAAGCTAAATAAGTGAAAGGTGTTATAAATAAAACTCAAGATCTAAGAACCCTATCAATACCTCACAAAGAACACATGGACAAAGCAATAGTAACTTGGCAAAGCAGATTTTACTTTTGCATAAGGATGCATTGCATGGTCAGTCAGATCTAGTTTAAAACTTTGCCTAAAGACAGAACTCAGCTGCCCCAGGCCATCAGGTTCAGGAATGCTTCAGGTGTGGTGCAAGGTGTGGTGGGATTAAACCAGTAGAGTTCCCTTTGTCTAAGCATAATATGAATCATAGTAAAGGAAACATTAAGACTTTAGTTTAAAAATAACATGTTGTAGTTATCTCAGGGTGTTATCTTGGAGGCAAGAGACTGGTTTAGGCCTTCTTGGGAGTCAGCTCTATTCATTTACCCAAGAAAAAGCCACATGTTGTATCTGACTTAGGTAGCAAACTGTGGATGAGTCTATTAAATTTTAAGTGGGTTTTTGGCTAGAGAAATAGAAGCCAAGGAACCCGAAGTGCTTAGCAGGTTGATTATGCAGGGGAAAGATGAGAAACTCACCAATGTTTCAAGATGGATCTCATCAGGAGTGCCAAGAAACTTCAGAACTGACTGAGACATAGCTGTCATGTCATCATCATTAGGAGCCTGAGGAGTTCTAAAGTTTAGAGAACTCTATTTAAGGCAAACCA